TTGCTGACAATAGTTAACATAAGAGGCTCTTTACCGATTCTCCACACAGTCCTTCTAGACGAGAGCCTTGTTCAACAACGGGCCTCGGGTTAGACATGCACTGTGGAAGTGGGACACTCAGCTCGGCTGTTCATGTATGACGACGTCGCCACAATTGAACGGAACAAGATGAATATACCTGAGTTTGTTTTTTTTTTGTTTGTTTTGCTCATTATTGGTCAACATTTTCACTCTCCAAAACTGTTTGCAGTACCCAAAGGTTTTATTTGCACATGGATAGTTTGAGCTTTAGCCGAATCAGCATAAAGTCTTGAAGTGACTGAGGCACTCTCCTCTTCTTCATCATTCATGACTGCGCGCGCCACCATTCAAAGAATCATACTCTGGTAAGACTTCACTTAAAAAAATTAATTTATTATCTTACCAGCATTATGTTAATTGGCAAGACCAACATCAGTCTGTCCTTGTCCAAGGATCATCTTAACATAAATCCCGCGAGAACTGATTGCCATTCTACCTCGGCGCGCGGCCTTGATTGTGCTCTGACAGAGCCAATATCTATCGGCCATAAATGTTTCTTAAGTTGATTGCCCCTGATGTTTTCCTTTTCTTGTTATATGTTGTTTATGATCATTATTTTTCATTTTTACACGTGAGTCTCACAACCGACGCAGAGCCGCCCTTAATTCGGTCCGACACGATAACGGGAAATAAGCCCGATTTTGCCCACGTGTTATTTCAACGGGTTATACTTCGAAATTTAATACAATATATCGATGACATCATTTATTACTTGTGACAGAAATGCACTTGCCGTTGAAGGAATGTGATGACATTACAATAAACTGACGCCTTCAACTGCTGGCCGTCTACAGGAATGGGGTAAACCAAGGCTAACAATGGACACCACGAAATAAAGAGTATCTGTCCATCCATCCAGAGAGCAAGCGAGAAAGGCAGGCAGACCGATAGATAAAACCGTTTCAGTCATTTCTCCATGTCATTGAAATGAGACAATAAAAAGGACATAAAGCAGACGGTGCAGCCGTTCCGTCAAACGGTATTGAAATCTTCTCACGATGGCTCAGACAATTTGATTCCTCACATGGCAACTTTTATGACCTTTTCCTTTCCAAGCAAAGAAAAGTGTCTTGGTACCGGTTTCAATATTGTCTCGGTCATGAGTTCGGAGTTAATGAGAAGCAATATTAAACTACTTCTAAATACTGTATATCCCCTCCAACAAATGTTACCCATGTATGTGTATTTCATTTTGTCATTCATTTCAACCTGTGGATGCGATAAGAGCAGCCTCTTATGGAATAAAATATGTTTGGATATATTAAAAAGAAAAACGGTGAGGATTGTTTTTAAAACCATTGATTTTGCAAAATAGATTATGGTTGCCAAAAAAAAAAAAAAAAAAGACAAAGTAATAAGAAAGGTTTTGAAACAGACTGGTCAATCTTACATTTTGCCGCTTTCATTTTATGCCGGATTATAAAATTCTTGTGTTTATTTTCCAGAAGGGATTTTTCTGCCTCAATACTCGGACCTTATATATTTCCAATATTTTTTTTCCACACATTTTACACCTTTTTAATAATTCTCGTGAAGCTAATATGGGCGCATTAAAAAAATGCATTAAAGTCCACTTGCTTCCGAAGGGCTTGCATGTAATTGTCTATTTTACGGCGTCTAACATCTTGTAAAGTACTAAAATCAATGAGTTAATGAACATGAGATGCTGTGGATATCAATATAACATAAAACATAAAATTGCATAAGCCCCTGTGGTTGATCCACATGAAAATGTGTTTTCTATGATGATAAAAAAAAAAAAAGAGGTTAACATTGCGATGAGAAAAAGCAGCAGCGTCGACACACCTTCGCCTCCAATGGGGAATACGGACGTGCACCAAACCACGCCTTGGGCTACAATCTTTGTCCTCTGATGGCATGCGCTTGTGCTGAGTGGAATCAACATCTGAGAGTTACATTGATCCTCAGCCAAGAGTGGCATTTGGAAAAAAAAAAAAATCCTGTACAATAGGCAGTATGTTGGGACATTATTTTGCAGTAGGAAACCAGCAGGGAATTCAATCAACTCTCACTTTGAAATCCAACCCGGTAAAATTTCGTCTCTGGGATGGTGTTCTGCTACACGCGTGCACATACCATTTAGTGTTGGAATGCGCACGTAGAGCACGCTGTGTGTTGCAGAGAATTGTGGCAGATTCCTCCCAGGGGGACGGCAAGATGAACTGAGGGGAGAGTGAAGCAGGATCGAGGAGAGTGGGGTGGGGTAGCGAAGAAGCTGACAGAAACATTATTCAAATGATGTGCCTCTGCTTTCATTTTGGTTTTCTCTCTCCCAGTTGCACACTAAAACCTCACATTTAGTCGCAGCAAGAGAGAAACAAAAGAGCCAGAAAATTCATGAGGATATTTGGACGCTCTCGTCCTTGCCGCCGAAGGTCCTCGTGTCCTGCACCGGAATTACTGGACCTTGGCGCTCCTCAAATCAGGGGCGTTTATGAATGCAACGTTTGATTTGGAAGGAGTCCCATGCTCATTACTGCCAAGTGGCAACGGCGCAATCGAAAGGTCACTGTGAAAGCGCCTTATCAGTGGGACTTCACCTCAAGTCCACTTGCAGCCAGCCGGGCCTGGGCGACGGACTCACTGCTGGTACTGCAGGAGCTACAAGAGGGGATGAAATGAGGGGGAAAGGATGGGGATGTGAGAAGAGAAAAGAATAAGACATGGGAGTGGGGGGCGGGGGGGTTGGAAAAGATGAGAGGATGAGAGGGGGAGCCTCCTGCAAAGCTGTCGCCTGGACATATTGTGCTTTGATGGGTTGCCTTTCATTTTTACTGCCGTTTTTCTTTGCTGCGGAGGAGCAGTATTAAAGTCTTCAATCTTTAGCTGATATTACAGGACTGGCTGCAGATCGTGATAAACAGCACACTGCCTTCCTGGGCACTTCCTCTCTGAACATCTGTTGGAACACCGCGCGGTGACAAAAGCAATATAATTACAACGTAGCGTCAGCTAAACCCACATACCGTGATCACGGTGGGCTTGTGGGTATCACTTTGGCGGACCAAAAAGCGTGCACGTCGTGTTGTTTTCGCATTCGGCGAAAACACACGCAGCGGTCTCGTTGTTTTTAGTCTATGTTTAAAATGAACGACTGAAGTTTTATGTGGTACGCATTTCGGTTGCAACACCGTCTGCACGTCGATGTGAATCACACCTGTTTGCACATGTGTGCTCGACATCGCCTTCAGCGATTGAAGCGGTCATGAAAGTGTGCTGTTAGCTTGTATGTTACAGTAATAACATGGCTCTAGTTTTACAGCCCGTCAGTGTTGTAATGTGAAGAAGTCATTTCACCATGGGGATGGGGGGGAGAGGTTTTTTTTTTTTTCGGTTCATCCTGATTGAATCCGTGGCTTCATATCGGATCTCAATTAAAAACTTCAAATGTCGAAAAGAAAATAGACCCATGTGATGTGTCTAAGTCATACATCGTTCGGATTTCAACGCTCCCTCAAGTAATATGTTATAAGTTCCACATATTAAATCCTGATGTCGCTATTGCTTCTGGTTATTGAACAATTGAGACACATAAAGTAAGTCCTCGTCCAATAATTATGAGACCACTTTCTTCAATCCTCAGGTTAAATACAAAAAAAAAAATATATATATATATATATATATATATATATATATTTTTTTTTTTTTTAAGATTTGACGGTCTCATTGAATAATATCACAGACAAACAACGTAACTCGGTTGTCATGGTTACAGCAACACCTGAAAAGCCGAAATATTCACTTGTGGCAAGGTTAGGTGCCTTCCAAGGTAAAACACATCCGAAATAAACAAATGCTTGCAAAGCAAAATCACTTTAATTCACTTGAATGTCAACATTCTTCCTCTGAAAAGCCAGTGGGGGGAGGGTTGGTGGGGTTGGGGTGGGGGGGTTGCAAAGCATTTTTTTTAAGACCTTGAGGATGTTTCTCTACAGCGCTCAAAATGATTCTGTCGTCAACTCCTACTGTTTTTCCTTGAACTACAAATCTGGCATTTGTTACTTAGTACATGATTGGTTTCATTCCTCTTCAGGACATTCATTCCAAATCGATGTTTCGGCAATGGCCAGTGTTTGTGCAATAGCTGCACCGTTTTTTCACTTTGACAATTGTATGTTTTTAACCAGGAGAGCCCTGTGGTTTTCTTCGTGGCTGCAGCTTTAACCGACGTAACCTTCAGTGGCCCCAAAAAAAAAAAACCCACACATTAATGAATCAGGTTATTCAGTTTCGACATTCAGCATGACGTATCGTTTGAAGAATCTATGCAATAGGACACACCTGTGCAACCAAATGTCAGTCATGCGTTCCAATACTTTTGCTGAGGTGGGGATGGGCAGGTTTGATAGAGGGCCCTCTTCACTATTATTTGAAATATTCCAAGTACTTTTCCTTTTCGATCCCTGTCACTTCCAAGTACAAAGTGTATATAGTGCATAAAAAGTCTAATGACGTGCATAATTTAGTCTTTGCATAGCTGTGCATAATTACCTCTCTTAAGCAGCACAGTATTTGCCACAGACTATAATTCGTAGGCATCACAAAACCGTGGCACGTCAAAGTACACTACAGTTCCGCATCCCAATTATCTGCGTCTGCATCGTGAAGCACAGGCACTCCCTGATGAAGCAACAACTTGCTTCGTGTCTGTCTCACACTCAAGAGTACGTCGCCGTGTTCGGTATCTCACACTATAGAACGAGACCGCTGAAATGTCGCTCTCGGCGGAGGTTACACAACCGCACCCGGGTGACCTGAGTCAGGCCGCGTGGTGCAATAGTGGAGAGCAGGCAATGCATCACGCATGCAGACAGGAAGTGGGTGTGGACGCACATTTACAGTGCAGGTATGATAAGTCCACTCCCCAAGCCAAGCAAATACTTTTCAGCTTCCAAGGTTCAGAGGTCAAGACATAAACGTTGACTGTAATCTGCAGGTAAACAGTCCCCACCCTCTGCAATGTCATCAAGGTAAATATTGCCGCATTGCTCATTTGGGATGGGCACACGCATGGCTTTCCTCGATTGACCATTGGAGCAACAATCAGGTGCTGATTATTCATTCTCTTTATGGCTTTTACAAACTATGAGCGGATTCATGTTTCAAGAAGAGAGCTCTCGTTTGCCATGCCAAGTCACTCAACTCGATTTACTGATCATTCAGAATGATGGCAATTGTAATTCAATAATTGTTGATTGTTGAAAATACCATTTCAAACGTTTTCCTCCATGCCTTTTGCGAGTTGTTTCATTTTGCATTTGTGCGTTCAATCAATGGCTAAAAGTGCGTCGACTGTTGCTCCCCCTTATCTTTATTTATTTATTTATTGCTTCATTTGAGCAGGAGCATATCTGATACTCGCTTGTACAAAGTCACTCAGATTTTGTCTCACGACGCCAAAGTTCGCAAATTCAAACGCTTGTTCGTCTCGATGCCACTCTACTGATGATTGAAATTGATGTAGCGTTAAGTCAGTTCCTGTGCCATACTACCTAGACAACAGTGACCGACAACCACATCATACCGTTGTGTAAATGGGGCTTTTCCTGCCGTGGTTATTACAACATAACATTTGTGTGTGACGGGAGCAACTCCCATGATGAATCTATTGACACATTTTGCTACTTGCAAGTGTGAAGGAGTATCGCAGTCAAGGTTGCTGGTCCAAGTATAAACCCACAGAGGGAGGCAGATGGGCAAAATTCAGAAAAACTGTGTGTGTGTGTGTGTGTGTGTGTGTGTGTGTGTCTCTCGGCGGAAAGACATATAAGACCCCTGCAGTGAATGAGACTGCCTACTTATCAGCTTTGAGCGTGATGTGCAAACAGAGGCCTTTCAGGCCTGCCAGGCACACAATAGCTTTGTTTGCTATGCAATAGAAACCAGTTGTTCACTGCTGAGTCAATATTTACTGCCTAATGGAATGTGTGCTCGGATACTACCCCTGCTCAACAACACCAGATTGGAAGAGGGACTCATTACCTCCCTTTTCTGTCTTTCACCCCCTGCCGTGCTCGATCCCCATTCGTCCTTCCCTCCCTCCTCTTTATGCGAGCCTCCCTCGAATATTGTTGTCTTTGAGTGGCGTCACTCTCCTTGTCCTCTTGAAGTTTTGGGAGTCCCTGTTACGTCCTCGTGTCTTTTTCCCCTTTTCCTGTTTGTTCCGTATCGCAACTGCATCTGGACCTCCGCTCGCGGTAGGGTGACAAACAAACGAATGGAAACTCCATATCGGGCAGAGGAGGAGCGTGGTTATAAATCATACGCGGGGAAGATGCCTAAAAAAAAAAAAAAAGTAGAGCATAATGCTGAGCATTTATGACACAAAAAGAAGAGATGCGGTGGTAAAACATGGAAAATGTCCAATGTCCCCGCAAGGTCGTGGCACTGACAGTGAGGGAGAGATTACTCCGTGATGAGATCACCGCGCTGACAGAATGATCCTTTTGTGCCACAGTCTGATGGCAGGCAGCAAATGCATTCCAAGCGGTATTTACAGCGTGTTTGCAGATCAACTGCTGCTAATCATGTCCGATTCTCTTCAAGGTACGCACATGCGAGTGAAGCGCAAACATCCCTTCCTTTTGACTCCGTTGTGTGCACCTTTTGGCCCAGGTGCGGACAGATAACTGGAGGCGTGCAACACTTGTCCTTTTAAAGGTTTTCCAGCAGCAGCCAATCCATTCCTTTCAGTCATGCTTCAATATCCTTCCCATACAGCCCGGAGGATCACTCGGGAGAGGAGAGTTGTGGGAGTGATGGTGTGCAGGGTTTCCATAGTGACACCAAGGTAATGAAAAGATTGGGTGAGAGGAGTGTGTAGTTGGTGCCAGTGTGTAGAGTGGGTGCCAGTGCGTGTGTGCGTGTCGTTCTCGAGCTCTCGGTTGAGACACAGTGGAACCATTCATGATCTACTATCTGCCCCCCCCCTCCTCAGTGGCATTCCGCCTTAAATCAGGCTTTGCTTGCAGAACTCAGATCCCCGCAATGTTTTATGTGAGCTTAAACAATCACCATTCACCGAGTGTTTTGTGCATTCCGTCATTTTCCCCCACTCCCAGCCATTATCATCTTTTCATTTCTGTCCAACAACTTGCCCGTGAATGATGAGGTCGTTTATAATACCCTTGTCATAAAGGGGATAAATTGATGGGTTTGGGTTGTATTTTAATTGGTTTATGCTGGCAGAGGGATAAACAATTAGGAGGATGCATATTAATTGTCCCTAATTATCCTTTCTAGCCACAGATTAAGTGATTTCATAAATTTGGCTCCCAGCGATCCAAATCCTCTTCATGCCGGAGCATCTACATCTGTCCACGCTCCCAAAATAAATCACCCCACTGATTTAGTGCTGTGAGCGGGATTCATCGATATGATTTAATTTAAGGCATCTCTCCACATCACCCACACACTTATTTGACCTTCGCCTCAGCCCACAACTCTGCACTGATTGCAGTCCGGTGCAATGAGATTACCATTAACGGGAAAGTGTCAATGAAATGCTCCGTGGCTTTTTTGACATGTGAGCAATCACAACAAGCAAAAGATGTTGGTGAGCTTTGTTGATGAAATCAGCACACTTTCATATGATTTGACTGTACAGAGGCAGGAGGCATGAAGAGTCGCTGGGTGCGGGGAGGGGGGAGGGGGGGGTATGCACACCGAACAGCAATTTTGAAATAACAGTGCAGTATTTCACATTATTAATACCTCTGTCGGAATAACTAGCCCAGGCCACTATATATGCATTTTGAATATTCAAAATTGTCAAATCAAATTAGACATGCCAATTTCTACGGTAGCAGATTACATCTATTCTCTTTCAGAAGGTCCTGCAGAGTTGAATTGATAATTAAGAAATGAAATGAACTCGCGCGATCTAATTTTATATCAGATATCCATATTAGCTCAGCAGTCGTTATTCTAATGTTACACACTGTAAGAACGGCGCCTCCGCTCTCCAAATTGTAATGCGAGCCGCGCCGAAGAATTGAGTTAGGGTTGTGATTTATCCGCATGAAACTTTATGCGAATGCGCGCAGAATGACTTTGTGCTTTATTTATTAGTTGTTTTCACGACAGCCGAAGATCGGATCATTTTAGCTGAGCATTTTACCATGTTAAGATTTATGCTACACTGTGTGTCAATAATCCATCCATTTTCTAGATCGCATCTTCCATATTCTAAAGTGGAAGAAAGGAAAGCACTTTTGACGGGTTGGCCGACACGGGGCATTTTATCAAGCGTTCAAAAAAAACCTGCATCATTTCATCATGAAAAATGAATGGATCTTCATCTAAAGACAATTGTCATCGGAACATAGTTTTATCAAACTAATACCACACAACCAATGATGTTTCCGTTTTTTCCCACAGGAATATTTTTTGATAAAATATTCCTCCACGTTTTGAGCATAGCCTAGCATCGCCATACGGTAACTCACCCTCCAGAACGTGGCGCTAATAAGTGAAATCTGTGATATTAAAATACACCCTCTGCATGTTATTTTAGCTTGTATGTGTGTGAGTTTATGAGTATTTTATTGTGGAGCAACAATACTTTGTTTCCTGTGGGTCGGTTAAGCTCTCGTAGTTTTGTCTGTTTTTTTTTTTTTTAAATATTTGTCCAGAGTCAAGGAGATCCAATGACATGAAAACTGGTGGTGCTTCAGCTCCACTGCCTCATAGCAGGTTAAATGGAGCGGGGGCAATGGGCAATTCTCCAGCATTCCCTCTCTTCAGTGCTGCCTCAGGTTGTTCTCCCCCCACTAAACTCCCGCTTCCTGGTGTTTCAGCTTGAAGCCGTAGACCCTATGGGGTCCCAACAGGCTGGAATAAAACACGAGTGGATGCGACAAGTTGCCATGGAAACTTCATAAGCCAGTATTTGTAGAAAGGGGTGAAAGGGGGAGGGGCGAGGGGGGCACTACAGTATCTAGTGAGCCATGCATCTGAAGGAAATAAATTGAATGCTGTGGAGGAGAAGACGGTGAGAGAAAGCTGGAAAGAGGGATTGCGTTATTGTAGAGTAACCTTTTATGTCGGAATTATTTTTTCACTGGCATGTGGCAAAGCGATTCCTCCCTGGTGTTTTGCGGGCCTTCTTCTGCATGCCTCGAAAGCGGGGGGCTCGAGGTTAAACGGCTGTCTGCGTTGTCACAAAGACTCTCCGCGACGCCTTCTGTTGCTGTATGTCACAAATAGTGACCACGGGACGCGTGGCTGCTCCTTCTCTGCTTTTTTTTTTTTTTTTTCCTTTTCTTAACCTTTACCGACATCTGTCATTGCTTTGACTGTCAGGCCATTACCTTCACTTGTCTTAGGGGGCACAATTGATGGGCCATTGGCTATCAAAGCTCAAAAGCCTCAAACACGCCAGCGGATTGCCAAGCATCTTTTATGCCACCTAAATCTTTCATTAACCACCTATCTATCATTAATTATCGGCTGCAGGCATTTATGGAGAGCTCGGGAGATTGATGGCAGGCGGTGGGGGGAGGGGCTGACTGTTGAGGGAGGCAATCTATAATGACTCCGAACAAGGAGGATCCATCTTAACTTTTATTTATAAGGGGGTTGACTACTCACCAGAGGTGCCATGTTGTTTATCTGTCTAGCCGAGCCTATTACATTAGTGCTCATGGCTGCTGGAGAACAGCTTTATCTTCATTGCCCGTGTCTCTCAGGGTCCATCTCCATATGTTTTTGGACAGCTCAATGATCATCTCTATTTAACACCACAGGCTCCTCATGTTGTCTTGGCCCCTTAAAAGAAACAAATTAATTCCCCTCTGAGGCAAAAGCCCTGTACCGGCCAATATGAGCTTGCTTGTAAGTGGAAGTGTCTATGTGTGTGCGCGTGTGTATGTGTGTAAATGTGTGTGTGCACGTGTTCCCTGTCAACTTGAAGGTGAGATAATGTATTTGCTTTTGATCCAGGGGCAGCCAGACAGCTCCCCTTGTCCAGAAAAGCCTTTTTTATTGTCTTGTCGTGCATGGGATTAGCGTTCAGCTACCGGCGAAAGTAAACAAATTGCGCTGAGCCTAATTATAAGGTCATTGTCTGTTCTCTATATATGACAAAGCAAAAAAAAAAAAATATATATATATACACACACACACACACACACACATACACACAGTATACAGCAGCAAGAAGGTCTTTTTAAATTGTAGGCATGTGAGATCGAGTCGTCACATGATGCAGTGCGGTTCCACACAACTATTGCCATGACAATAAACATACTGTAAACTGCACCTCTCGGATGTCAATAAAAAGTGAGCATTGGAGTCCGATATCCGATGTCATCAAATGATGTGAATCTTAGTATTCTCCTCCACGTACTGTTACCACATCATATCTGAGCCAGTGATAAAACACGGTTTTATTACTCATGTTTTTAACATTTAGCTGCTCCGCTATTCACCGCTCCATTTATTTTGTTTTGACGAAGAGTGAAAAGTCACCGCCGCTGCATTTTAATACACTCAAGTGCCCAAACCCATAATGCATTTCATGTTTCAGCTGATTTTTGCTGAAGGTAGGCTGTTTGACACACGCGGTTCAAAATAATTGGTGGTAAATTTCCACTCATGTATAAACATGGCCAAATTCAAATGGCAAATCAGAAGGCTTTTTTTTTAACACCACGGCACTTTGCTGTCTGTCCATCAATAAAATCTCAGTGCAATGTCTGATTATGAATGTTATAGATATGATTATTATTATTACTATGATGACACAAAATGTGTGTGTGTGTGTGTGTGTGTGTGTGTGTGTGTGTGTGTGTGTGTGTGTGTGTGTGTGAGACATATGGTTCTTGTATTTGATGATGAAATGATTTGATTATGCCTTACTAGCAGTCCTACCTGTTTTTCTTTTCCAAAACATTTCATCTACTGACATTCAGGGAAAGATATTAAAACAAAGAAGAGGGATCAGACCTTGGATAACCGTGCAGGGGTGGGGGGGGGCGTAAGGGAGAGAGCGCGATGGAGAGCGATAACAGGTGAACAAGAGCAGACATGGAATAAACACCCCACTGGAACACTTTATCCTGCATTGTCACGCTTTGTTATCCCAGCAGGCTACTTGATATTTAGTGACAAAGACAAGATCTTAGCTGCCTACCAATCACACCGCCCGCCCTTCGACACCCTCCCCTGCTCCGAATCCCCCC